AGTCAGATGTCTTTATTCGATTTGACTATTCAGTCAATTTTGTGTTTAAAATCTCTTATGTTGAAAACTTATTGAAATTTTGATAAAATATAGATCTCATAATAAAAAATCTTGGACTTACTTATATATTTTAGCTACAGAACTTGACTAATAAATATTGTCCTTTAAATAATTCCCTGTTTTATATTTCAAAAATAGTCCAAAAAAACTACTGTATCGTTTATAATACAACCGGAAAATCATCATTAACAAAGTTTTTACATTCTAAGAGAACTATGAATTCATAACTACTTAATTATTTACAAGAACAAAGTCTGTTTAAAATTTACCTTGAAAATTCTAGGCGCTGAAAGTTATACTCACGAAATGTTGTTTGTTTTCATTAAATATGAAAAACAAATTTGTATTAATAATATTAATAAAAATGTGTTTTTTAGGTAAATATATCCTACACAAATACGCAAAATAAAGTCCATGAACAAACTTTTTATAAAAAAAACGAATAAATTATATCAAGCTAAATGAGAATATGTGACATACGTGAGAATTGAGTGAATAAATAATATACAGGGTCTTTCTAAATTCATGCGAAAAAAACAGGAGGTGATTGCTCGTATGAAATTAAGATGGATATTTCTCATAACAAAATTTTCTCAGCCCACTCCTCAAGTGTGATAACCCCCTAAAAGATGGTCACTAAAATTGAGTTTTTATTTACTTATTTTTTCAGTAATGCTCGAAACTTGAAATTTTGTAATATTTTCCTACACTCGCAAAGGTCTTACCAAGGGTATTTTTTCAAATTTCCTATTACATTATTCGGGGGTGAAATTAGGGGGGGAAGGCTGAGCTGCGCGTTCACCTCATTGTACCTAAAAGCAAGCACAAACAAAGTGAAGGATACCTAATCGAAACCAGGAACCTCAGACACGCGGCAACCGACGACGGTTGCTAAGACTGAGACACCCCTGGTTCCACAGCAGGGAGAAGATCATCAGATGATGGTCGACGAACTCTGCGGAGGAGGTTCCAAAACAACTAAAGATGACCCCTCCTCAACCGAGGAGGAAATGGACACCTAAAAAAAAACCGAAACGATACCTAAGCCATGGCCAAGGACGTCGAAAAAAATAAGCTTACCATTATTCAATGCAACCTCCAACACAAAAAGGTGGCAATGGCGACATTATGTCGCCGCCTGGATGAAACGAAGGATGCAATAGCACTAATCCAAGAACCTTGTATAAATAAGACTAAAATAACTGGTCTTAACAGCCTAAACGGTCAAATTTTCAGCTTACCAAGCAATCAACAACCGAGAACAGCATTATATGTTCTCAGAAAAATCAAAGCCTCCCCCATGGCGCAGTTTTGCACCTCAGACCTAACTGCGGTTAAAGTGAAGTGCCCATGGGGAAATTGCAAAAATAGAGAGTTGATACTAGCATCAGTCTACCTACCCTCAGATGCAGCCACCCTACCACCAACAAGGGAAATGGAAGATCTGGTAGACCATTGTCTCAGTCAGAGGGTAGAACTTATTATCGGCTGCGATTCGAACTCTCACCACTTAGGCTGGGGCAGCAAAGACAACAACGCTCGAGGTAAGTCCCTTTATGACTATATTATTACAAATGATTTGTATATCTTAAATAAGGGCACCGAACCTACCTTTATTAATGTTCGTAGCCAAACAGTCATAGATATCACGCTGGCAATAGCTGAAATATCGAACAAAATTCAGAACTGGCAGGTATCGGAGGATATTTCTATGTCTGACCACCGCTGGCTAACCTATAATATTAGTCTGGAAAAAAGCCTTATCAAATCGCGCGACCCTAGGAGGACGAATGTAAAACTCTACAACCGACTCTTAGAAGATGCTCTGCGGAATGAAAAGGCTTCAACTCCAGGAACTAATATAGAATTGGAAAGATATACGGTATCTATCCAAACAAAATAAGCTATGCTTATAAAAAATCCTGTCCAATAAGGATGGTCCAGGAAAGTCGCAAAACCAACTCTTGGTGGTGCACTGAATTGGAACACCTTAGAAAGATAGCAAGAACAGCTTTTAATAGAGCGAAACGCACCAAATTCAAAGAGGATTGGGATTCTTATCAATCAAATCTCGTGAAGTTTAAAAAATTCTGCACACAAAGACAAAGAGCTGCTTGGAGAACCTTCTGTGAAGAAATGGAAGATTTCCCGCAGGCTTCCAGGCTACAAAAAGCGCTCTCAAAGGACCTACATCGGTATGTCGGCATACTAACGAAGGAAGATGGGAACAAAACTTCCAACCTTCGCGAAAGTGCTGAGGTCCTGATGAAAACACACTTTTCCGGTTCTAGTGTCTCAACAGCACCAAACCGGATGGAAGAAACAATCATACCCTCAACAACCGACTGGCATCTCGCCAGAACAACGATTAATGAGGAAAAGGTAAAATGGGCCATATCGTGCTTCACCCTTTCAAATCACCAGGGCCTGACGGCATATATCCAGCCCTACTACGGTGGGGATTGGATATCCTTCTGCCGCACCTCGTGGAAATATTCAGAGCCTCTTTGATTCTGACATTATATATATATATATATATATATATATATTATATATATATATATATATATATATATATATATATAGGAAGTGGAGAGAGGTACGTGTGGTCTTCATACCAAAACCAGGTAGGATGGACTACACCCTACCAAAGGCTTTCCGACCAATTAGCCTAACATCCTTTCTGTTGAAAACGGTGGAGAGGCTATGCGAGAGGTACATAAGGAATGAAGTTCTGGTTCATAACCCACTTCACCCAAATCAACATGCATATACTTCGGGAAGATCTACCGATTCTGCACTGCATCATGTAGTGTGAAGAATTGAAAGATCGCTGGATAATAAGAATCCATCCTAGGTATATTCATAGACATTGAGGAAGCGTTTGATAAAACCACATTCCCAACTATCACCCAACAGCTCAACGTTAGGAATGTTCCCCTGGCCATAAGCAAATGGATATTTAGTTTGGACCGTTATCTCCTCACACTGGTCCAGTGCGGGTTGAGCAGGGAAGGGGAGAAGTATTTGGGTAGGGCTGGGTTGGTGGGTAGGATTGGGAGAAAAGCCGAGCTCGCGTGGGCAGGGGCATATCCTGAAGCAGACCTGTCTTTACCGGATAAAGAGTGTCTACCCGCTACCCGCAATATATATATATATATATATATATATATATATATATATATATATTATATATATATATATATATATATATATATATATATATAATAAAATATATAATGTTAAATCACTAACTTCTTGAATAACTTTTTAAAAAAGATTTATTTTACAATTAAACGTTACACTTGTTCTACGATAAAAATGAAGCAAATAAAACTATATTACAAATATGTTATTAATAAGAAACTTACATGAAGAGTGAAAAAGTAATGTTAAAGTCCTAAATTTATAATCTATCTACAAAATGTGGTGTCGGCATTTCCCACGAAAGGCCTGCTTTGGTCAGAGTTTGATGTCCGTGCATGGTCAGCTATTTCTATGGGAACGCTTGCTGAAAGGATGATGAAATAGGAACTGATATTGCGAAACCAAAGTGTCGGTAACCCTTGAGTGGTTCAAGGTGACTATTTTCACATATAACAGCTCCCTTCATTAGTGAAAAGTCGATGCCTTGCTTCGACTTTTAAAGTTCAATTGGGGTTTCTGAGACTTCTTCAATTTCTGGGCGTACGTCTGGTCTTACGTACTCTTAGAATTGTGTTTACTTTGATTGTCTGGGTACTAATGTCTTTTTTTTCACACTTGATTGTAACTGGTAATGGATCGGATACTGTTATTAACCATAAATTTCGGTCTATTTCTTGCACATTGTAATCTTGTGCTAAAAACGTCGACATCTGACAAGTTTTTGGTAAAAAGCTAACTGGTTTCAATATATGTGCCTCACATATAGTATCGCTGTCTATCGGATAGGGAAAAATATCTGTACACATTCTTTGATTTGGACTAATTGATTTGCATTCTTCTGTGTTTCGGGGCAATACATATGAAATTGAATCATCATCTCGCGCTATATACTTATGTATTGTAGATAGTGTATGAAAAAGACTAGTTTGATTATCTAATATTGGTATCGAATATAAATGATATAAGGTATAGATTTCGGAGTCGACTAATGGAATTTCTAGGACGAATACAATTTTGGAATCGAGTTGATATGCTTGAAGTTTTATTATATCAATATATTGGGCTATATTTGATGTATAAATGGGCAATAGTAATACATTATTTTGTAATGATTGTAAGATAGTTTTCAATGAATCTAGCAAATCATTGGGCGAAATAATTGAACTGTGTAAAATTTGCAACCGAGAAAAGGTGATGGCGTTCAAAATGTTATTGAGATAATTTTCTAAAAATATGTAGCTTTCCATTAATGATTCACACAAATTTAAGGTTTGTAATTGTACACGGTAAAATGATATGTCGTCAGCAATGTCTATAAGAGTGGTTTCGATATCGTTGAGGTCTTTTTTAAAAGTTTGTTCGTCTATTTGTAATTTTTGGATAGTAGTGTTAAAAGATTTTATGAGAGAAGTTGTAACAGAGATTTGGTTCTTTAGGAGTGTTTCTATTTGATTTTCTTCTGTGGTTATCCTATTTATACATTCATTGAAATATTCACCGTCTGATGCGACTAAATTTCCGCTAATAGATTTCCATAAGGTTCCAACACCATTGATTAATCCTCGTTTTTGGCGTGGATTATAGGCTCGTGTGTCGGCAATTTCTTCTTTATATTTTAAATTTACAGAATTAGAAATTTGTATTATCAAACTAATATGTCGCACCTTTAATAAAAAAGCGAAATAACTCAAAATTCATGGTTTTCGAGATTTATTCATAAAGTTAAATAACTCAACTAGAAGAACCTGTTCCGTTTAACAGCCAGGTTAAAATGATGAAAATGAGAGAGATAAATGATTTTACCTCTCTTTTTTACTAACGCACATGGACAAACCGGTACTCATAAAGTGCTGGAATTCAGGTATATTCCAGCCGTGTTGGAGGTAAGATATCCGGTGTTTTCTAAGAAAGTGATACAATACGAAATAAATCTGTGTTTTACTAACAGGTAAGTTTATTATTTGCTATCGTTTTTTAGAAAAGTATATTCTTTCAAATTTACTTCAATTTATTAGAAAAATACTTAAAGATTTGTTACTAACATTTACTACTTAGTTCATTTTATAAGAGACCGTATTACGGAGAGTGGGCAAAGAGAGAGGTGATGTATACCATTAAAAGGAGAAAGTTGGAATATCTCGGACATATAATGAGAAACAGCACTAAATACAGATTACTGAAGGTAATCCTACAGGGTAAAGTATTCGGAAAACGAGGAATTGGGAGAAGGAGAATATCATGGTTGAAGAACCTGAGGAAATGGTTCTCCACAACAACAACGAATCTATTTAAAGCATCAGTCAATAAAATAATTATAGCCAGAATGATTACCAATATTCGGAACGAATAGGCACTGAAAGAAGAAGAAGTAGAAATTATTTCTTATTATGTTCCGTATGATTTGAACTTGATGCAGTTTCTAATTAAAAATTTAAGAAATTACTAAAGTACATTAAGTATTATTCCATTATTATACTATTATTTTATTAGAAAAATAGTTAGAAACCTTCACGTTTTGACTTGTTTCTCTTTATTATAAAATAATCAATAATTATTGTAATATTTCTACTTTTGATATGCAATGAGTTTAATGTTCGCATTAGATACTTATGTAGTTATTTTTTGATAATCTAATTGAATTTGTTTCTTGTTAACTATCAACAAGAATAAACTAATATTCAAACTAAGCGGACTACGATCGTAACCCCGGTTAGAAAAATTTGTCAGGCGGTTAAGTTTAATCAGCGCTATAGTCGGTACTTTTATCCTCGATTAGACTTACATTAGTCATGATCAAGTCTAAGCGGGGATGGAAGTACCGATTATAGCGCTAAGTAAAGTTAACCGCCTGACAAAATTCTTCTAATCGGTTTTAATCAGGACATAAAGTACCGGCCCTAAGGCTTTTACTTGTTTCTTTCAAACAGTAATAAAAGTATTGTTATTTTAGGTGCAAAAAGAAAATAATGATCATCTTCAAATAAATATTTTGAATAATGAAATATTATTGGACTCAATAGACTGCTATGATACAACAAATGAAGAAACAATCCTTGTAAGTAGAAATTTTATAAAATTGCACCATTATTAGCGAATATTTTGTGCCTCCATTTATATATAGAGTGTATATTGTACTCTGAATTATTAGAATCTACATTTTTTGTTATTATAAAAATTCACTTACAGATACCACCGTCAATGGGTATGCAATGTCCCAAAAGCCTAGTTTGTTATTCTGATAGTGACATATCTTCAACCGAAATTCAAGAAAGTACACAGGTTCTTGCTGAGAAGGCAGCGAACAAAAAGGAAATATATAATTATATTGAGCAATCTTTAAGCGCATCAACTAGTTACGAATTAATGGGCGCAGGACATGTAAGTACATAAAACCTTTTAACATGTTATGTGTATTACATTCCAATATATTTTTAGCAATCAGAGAATCTTCATTCAAGGCAGATAGCAAAAGTGCAAAATTACGCCATTTCTCCCCTGTATACCGACGAAAGTGATGTACACCTGAGTGATACAGATCCACCTTTCACTATTGTTGAAAACCAAAGACATAAAAATTATTTTTTTGGCCAATCGGACTCGTCATAAGGGGCGTAAACAAGCTAAATCCATCAATTTGGAAACAAAATAGAGTAAAGCGTATGCGTAATAATGAAAAAACTTACGTATCTATGTCAAAAAAAAAACTATCCCCGCTCGTTGTTTGAAGGAACCATGATCCGACAAGTGCAGACTTAAGTGCTCCGAGAATATCAACACAGAAAACAGATATGATATTTTTTGCAAGTTCTGGAAATTGGGCAATTTGCTAAAGCAAAGAGCATACGTAAATTCTCGTATGGGTGATATTCAACCTAAGTACTGGTACTCAAACGCTAAGAATCCTAGGCGCTGCAACAAGGCTTTCCATTTTGTTATCGATGATGTCAAAATTAGAGTGTGCAAAACATTTTTTAAATCAACTTTAGATATTTCCGACCGCATGATTTTTACAGTACAGACTAAGATTGATGAAAATGGTTTTGCACTAGATGATTTAAGAGAAAAACATGGCAAGTATAAAAAAAATGATCCCTAACTGTTAACTGACATCAAGAGGCATATTAACTCTATACCAAGGGTTGAATCTCATTACCTACGTGCTTCTACTTCAAGAGATTACATAGAAGGAAGCAAAACGATTAAGGATTTATACAATGATTTTAAAATAGAACAAGAGCGGAATAATAAAGAAATTGGTACATATATTACTTATTACAAAATATTTACAACTGAATTTAATATCGGTTTGTTCCAACCAAAAAAAGATCAATGTGATCTGTGTAATGCCTACAACAATAGTAATGGTAATGAAAATCAAGACCTTCAGCAAAAATATAAAGCACATTTAGAAGAGAAAAACTGGAGTAGGGCTGAGAAATTGAATGACAGAAAGAAAGTTAGCCAAAATGTAAGAGTACCTGTATATGACTTGGAAGCTGTGCTGCAATGTCCTACATGGTCAGTCTTCTTCATTTTATTATAAGTCAAAACTCAACTGTTACAATTTAATGGTATCGGAGCTAACACAGAAAGAATCTAAGCAGGCATATAAAAATGTACACTGTTATTTTTCGTCTGAATGTGATGCAACACGTGGCTCCATAGAAATCGGTTCTTGCATATGGGCCTATTTAAAAAATATAAGTGAAAAAGGCGATGATGAAAAAGAAGTCATATTCTATTTAGATAATTGCTGTGGCCAAAATAAAAATAAGTATATAGCGTCTCTGTATTTATTCGCTGTGCACACGTTAAACATTAAGAGAATTACACATAAATTTTTAATAAGGGGCCACACGCAGAACGAAGCCGATAGTGTGCAAAGTCTTATTGAGAAAGAAGTTAAAAAGAACTTGAAATCTGAACCGATTTACACTCCCGACCAATATGTAACTTTAATATGGAATGCCACAAAGTCGAACCCACCTTTAATTGTGCACGAGATGAATTACCAATCATTTCATGATTTAAAAGGTTTGCAAGAAGAATGGGAGTATAACTTTACGATTAATACAGAGGGAGAAAATGTTAACTGGAACGAAATCAAAGCAATACAAGCGAACAAAGAAAATCCTGCATAGATTATCCTACATATAGTGTAGTATTGTATTATTATAGTGTTAAGTTATGTTTTAGTTTAATTCTGTAATCATACAATTTTGTTAATAAAGATAAATAAACGAATAAGCAGTATTTTAGTATAAAGAAAACGAAAATTCATTTTGTGTTTAAGAAAATATAGAGGCAACTAGGATTAATTCAATGTCGACTTAAAGTTTTTACATCGAAACTGCAACAAACCTAATTCTTTATTTTACATGACAGTTCATTTAACAATAAAAGAGCATCATGTAGGATTATTTCATAGGCGCAGAATATATGTTTAATCATAAAGTGAAATAACTGTGAACTATCAAAAGAATAACAAATTTGCACCCTTAACAACAGACGAGAAGGTTAGTATTTACTAAAATCTAAGAGCTTACTAATTAAACTATCCACTCCAACTTTTAGAATACTTCTGACCCGTTTGAATTTTTTGAAAAATTAATTTTAGCTTGTACGGTGCAAAAGTTAAAAAGTTTGACTGCAAATTCCAACAAAATGTGATTTTTGAGTTATTTCTTTTTTTTTATTAAAGGTGCGATGTGTTTGTACTTCGGATTGAAATGCAAGTTTTCTTGGTGTATCGGCATCAGTAAATTTATCTAGCAAGTTTTCTAAAATTCTGTCGTTGTTGGATATGGCAGTTTTTGTGGGGAGCAATTCCTTGCAAACAAGTAATGTCCATTTATCGTTAGATATTCGAATGGTACCTTCTTCGTGATAGAAGATTCCGACTGTATTATTAATGGGAGAGAGGTGAAATTGGGAGTAGGCGACTGAGAATAATAGTCCATAGAATCTGTAAAGAAGAAATTTATTCAAAGTATGGTTTTAGTCCGTCAAAATTTACTTTAGAAGTTTGATTCGTTTGGGGATTTAGGGTAATGGTAGAATTTGTAAATATTTCTTGAACTTGAAAAGGTCCATTAAATAAATTTTCGGATTTTGGTTTTATTTGGGATTCTTTTACGTACACTTTGTCACCAATTTTAAAGTCAGGGCGTTGTGTTGAAATATTTTCATCAAATCTTTCTTTAGCTTTTTCTTTTGCTCTTTCCGTTTTCTCTCTGGCTACTTTATAAAAATATTCTATACGGTTATTAAGGTCTCTAACATATTTGCTAATTAGGCTTTTTTGATTATATAAAGTTTCTGTTGGTCGTCCTGCAATGTGTGTTGGACTTGAAATAACACGCCAACTAGTGAAAAATTGGCACATTGTAAATGTCAGAATAAATTGTTCCTTTCAAGTTGACAAACGCGTTTTTTCATTCTATCAAAGTTTTAATTAATTTATTCAAGTTTATTCGACAAGAAGTTCATAACCAGAGCAAATATACAGTTCAACCTTCATGGTTTCTTCTAATCCCTTCAGTGTGTCCAAAGACTAGTTCGTACGGCGTAAAACCATGTGTCATTTTTTTGTATTATTATAACATATCACTGCATAAGGGAGGATCACGAATGGGTGATCATTAGGATTTTCGGCTGTATTTGCTCGGATCATTTCTGATAGTGTGGCATGGAATCTTTCTACAGATCCATTGGATTGTGGATGATTTACACTAGAAAATGTTAATTTTATATCATAGAGGTTGCATAGAACTTTAATTATGGCATTTTCGAATTCTCGACCACAGTCACAATGTATTCTTAAAGGTGTTCCGTAATGTTGAAAAAATTGAAGGAGTGTACTCGCTACGGTGACTGCTTTTTTATCAGTTAAAGGGTATGCTTGAGTGAATTTAGTTAGTTCATCTCTAATGGTTAATGCATAGTTTCTAGAGGGATATTCAAATATGTCTATTTTGATCCTTTCAAATGGCGTTTTCGGTGTTTCCGTTATAACTAATGGTCCACTTAGATTTTTTCTGTAAATTTTAACCTTTTGGCAAATTTCACAGGCTTTTATGTATTTTTCGACATCTTTTGCTAAGTTCTTCCAATTATATTTTTCTTTTATACGTCTAACGGTTTCGTTTATTCCTCTGTGCAAGTTATTTTTGCCACAATGGTAATGTTCTAGGATTTGTGGGCTTTCGTCTTCACTTGTCTGTTTAATTACATTTTGGCAGATTTTTAATTTTAGTTCTTTGCAAATATATAGGAAAATATTTCTAGAATGGGAAGTTCAATATTATTTTCTATGCAATAGGTCTTTGATTCGTCAAATTGTTCTTGGTTCGCATAAAGTATGAGAAATAAGTATGACATGACTCTTTGTGGGTCGTAAGGTAATGGGATAATGAAATATTTTCAATCTTTTACGGATTTACTAGATACGATATTGATCCTTCGGTTACTGTATTCTATATTTTCTTCGAATATGTCACACATTATATTTTCGTGCAGGTCCTCAAGTTTATTCTGCCAGAAAAAGGTAACAATATTCTTGTGAGATTTATCTAACAGTTTTGCGTTTGACGTTTCTATTTCGGAGTAATCGATAATGGATTTTGTTCTATACAATTCGGGAAATTTTTCGAATTCTTTGGACATCTTTTCTATTCCTTCTTCTGTGTCTTCTTTTTCTTCCTCGTCTTCGTGTGTCTCGGTTTCATCTCTGTTAGATGCGTGCAGGGCAAGTTTTGATTGAAAATCTGCACGGTCCTTAAAATGGTTTATTTTTATTCTGGAGAGTGCATCTGCGTTTCTGTTGATTTCTCCTGAACGGTGCTCTATTTTGTAATTATATTCTTCAAGTTTTAGGCGCCAGTGTGCTAGGCGGCTTCCTGGGTCTTTGATTGAAAATAGCCATGTAAGAGGGCGATGATCAGTGATAAGAGTAAACTTGCGACTCAAAAGATATGGTCTGAAATGTTTTACTGCCCATACTATAGCTAGTAATTCTCTTTCTATTGTGGAATATTTGGTTTCTGCACTGCATAATGTTTATGAGACATAGGCGATTGGCAGATCTTTTCCTAATGGTCCTTGTGACAAAACGGCTCCAATTGCGAAAGCACTAGCGTCAGTAGTGAGTAAAAAGGTTCTTCAAAATTTGGATATATGAGAATTGGATCTGTCATTAGAATATTTTTGAGATCGTTGAATGCTTCCTTACATTCGGCATTAAAAAACAAAAAGGACTTCTTTTTGAAGTAATTTAGTCAGTGGTTTGGAAATTTTGGCAAAATTCGGTATAAATCTACGGTAGTAACCTACTAGGCCTAAAAATGATTTTATTTCTTTAGTTGTCTTGGTTCTGGGAAACTTTTTATGCATGATACCTTGGCAGGATTTGTTTTTTACTCCATGTTCAGTTACGTGGTGTCCTAAGTATGCGACTTATTTTCTTAAGAATTCACATTTATCCGGTTGTATCTTCAGATTTGCTTTTCTTAATATTTTAAATACTTCTGTCAGTCGTGACATATGCTCGTGAATGGTCTCTGAATAAATGATTATGTCGTCCATATATACTAAACATCTCTCGTTTT